CGGCAGAGTCGAGACTCCAGGTCTTCTCACTGTCTCGTCAGGTTCGCCACTCCACGACTTCTTTTTTTCTATGACTTGGCTGCGTTTTAGGGCGCAATTGAAAAGACAAACGTCGCGTTTTTCAGACAGGAAAGTAGAGATTTAAGAAGCAGCGCCATAAACATGAAGTGCTCTTGATTCCGAGACACCGGCTGCTCATGACAGCCGCTCATTTCTGCATCAACGTCCAAATTTCATTCACGCATCAGTATAATTATTGACACCAGAGACGCAAATCAATAAAGTCAGGATTTAATAAAAACTTCACACGTATTTTCTACTGCACTTCTCATTCGTTTTTACTGTCTAATTAATGCTGGAAATTCGCTCATAAGCGTTACTGATAGCACTGATACTGATAGCATCGTTAGCATCAATTGATGTTTCTTAATCCTTATAAAAAAGGACATCCGCTCGACCTTATAAAAAATTCAGTCCACCCGGAGGCTATAACGCTTACTGCTCATAGTCGAGTATACTTTTAACACTGAGTAAATTTTGAATTTGAATGTACCTAGAATATTCGCTCCTTCGCAGTATCGCAGAGAATTTTGTACATATATGTTGTATCACTTCACCACGTCGCACTATTGCAGGATTGGCGGCTTCCTCAACCTTTTACCAATTAATGGAATTAAAAGGATTTAAAAGACGTGTCGTTCAATTTTGATAGTCATGCCCCGGGGTTGTCTGCCTAATCTTATTATAGTGGGTATTTTGTTAGTCATAACACGCGTATCATCGCACCTATACGTCCTCAGGCGTGGCGCCTCTAAAACCAAATGCAGAGCGGCAGGTTCGCAGGACTAGCCAAAGTTTTGGGAAATTTTACTGTGCAACAGAGCCTATATTTGCAGTCACTAAATATGAAGAAAATTTCAATGTTTCTTGTAAAAATTTTGCTAATTGTACAGCGTTTAATTATTTGCCTAAAGTAGTTAAAATTCGCTGTTATTCATGCAAGTAATTACAGCGCGAATCCATCTACATTTACCCCTCCTGAAATTCTCTTCATGATGTTACAGAATTTGATGTATTTTTATATTTTTTATTTTGTCCTGGTACTGTGTTGGTGTCAAAAGGCTGGTGAATGATTAAACAAAATCATTTTAAAGAACAATAGGACAGGCTGGTTCAAAGAACTTAATTTGAGCAAATGAACCTGTTGAGTTAATAGTGAGAAGTGCTTGAGTTGCTGCTGTCTCCGTTGGACTGTAAGCACGCCTTCTATACTACTGAAGTATCTGGTAAATAAAAGGGTTCTCTGTACACACTTTGTGCCAGTCCACGTTGAGACAACGCGCTGAGCTGTTGCTTCCAAAGCGTCAGTCAGAAGGCTTTTTAGTCCCGGTTTCGTACCTCCTATGATTAATTGTGGTGTCTAAAGTTTCTAAGAACTATAGTCGGGGTCTTAACTTGGCCTGAAGTTGAAAGCCCCCAGAAGGCTTTGGCGGAAAGAATCTTACCTGCGTGCACTGCTAACTGCAATATATTTGCCTCGAGCAAACTTCTGGCAGCTACTGAGGATTTGCGCTTTAAGCGAAATGAAGTCTTAAATTGGAACTTAGGTGATCAAAGAACACTTTGAAGGCGGCCTGAGCGATGGTTGTGAATAAGAAACGTTTTCCAGTAAACCATCGCCGATATTGTGGAGCGAACCTTCTCTGCTGAAAGAAATTGATTCAAATTATTCTTCAACTTTTTTACGATGCTTAATATTCTGTGAACACTTTGTGACATATAGAACAATTTTAAGTTTTTAAATCATACGGCATTCCATTTACTGGTGCTGAAGTTGGACATAACCCTTACTTATATCTATATGCAATAGGTATTGGTAAAGACTAATATAGTAGCAGTTATGAAATGAATTATACATTACAATATGTACGAGAAGTCTTATTCCGGTATTTTATAGCTCCGATATATTGCATAATTATTCTTCAGGTAGAAGAGCGTTAATAAAAAATACCTGTTGACTCTTCTACAGCGCGCAGCCTCCTGGCATGAATAATTCAGCGAGACAATTGGAGCTATTCTTTTCTATCACATAAAACAAAGGATCTCCCATTAGTGCACAAAATAAATTGCTGTTAGTTCTGTGCTTTGAGAGAGTTGATTTTTATTGTTTTGCGCTTTGCAGAATGTGATAGCTTACTCCTACTGGCAGGCCATGAAATAAGATCTATTGTGGCATTAGTAATCTGATGAAATATTCTATCATAAAATATTTTTAAACATTTTTATCCCGCAAGTTTCTTTCAAATAACCACTGTATGAAACACAAATTGCAATGCATTGATATGATAGTGAGAAAAAATAATTAATTTAATCTTTCGCAGCGCTCATGTATAGAAGCGACTTTAGCACAATTAAAGCATTTTCTCTGAACAGACTATAGAGCGCAAGTAAAAAGTAATTATAATAAACAACAAAAATTCCTCATTATAAAAAAATTCATAATCTACATCAGTGCCGACAAAATAAACCACGCGAACAAGCCTGCAGACAACGCAAACAATTCGGTTCAAAGTCTAAGCCGGCATATGGTCGGCTTATCGCCGGCCATTCCAAGACGACCGTACGCGTGCAAAAACTTGCACGAGGAGGAAGTCAGTTGACTTCATTGGAGGAAGCTGATGCCTAAAGGAAACGCGTTGGCAATTCAGGGCGATTTGTGCAATAGCGCCACAATTTCCGAGGCTCCTTGAGGGCGGCGACTCTGGAGGGACATCTGTTGCTTACATGCAAATGAGCCCAGACTGCCTTCCTGGCTGTATTGCACGAGCCTTCCCGTCTTGGATCAATCAGGCCGTTTTGATGAAAATGAAATGTTTTAACCACTTGAATTTGGATTTTTATAGTAAATTATTATTAATGATTATACGGAAAAGGGTGCCAAAGCCGTCCAAATCAACACTCGATGATCGATTCGACTGTACGCTTCCTTCATATATTATAGATAAACTGTGCCTTGATTGCTAATTAGATGACACAGTTTATCTATATTATATGAATATATATGCTAATTAGATAGATGATTGCTAATTATTCCTAGTATTCAGACCACAAAAACACTTTAAAATCCACTGTGAGTAAATGAGCCGAAAGTCGTTTGCTTAATTTAACAGAACTGCCGGAATGCGGCTGTATAAAGAATGAATGGCCTGAATACCCACTATAATAAGACTAGACAGACAGTCCCGAGGCATGACTAACAAAATTGAACTACACGTCTTTTAATTAAATCCTTACTTTTAATCCTATTGATTGGTAAAAGTTCGAGTAAAACATAATTGACAGGGATTGACCATTGATACAATTTAAGCACTGAACAACTGCTGTTGAATAGATAGTTAAATGAGTAATAGTGAATCATTTATAGAATATAATCGCCTGCAAACATCAAATAACGTTTTAATTATCACATAAATACCAATCACAGAAGTACCAGAAATTTGAATACTGCGGTGTCTATAAAACCGTTTATACAGGTTATACTATTTCCTTTCCAAACTTTTTTATAAAAGTATTCGTAGCTTCTTTCAGGATCCTTGTGCTGGGAGATCGATCGCTGCTGGTGTAGCTGTGATACCATCGGAGCTCGGCCAAAATACCTCATTCTTTTTTCCTTTACAGCGACCTCGAGGCGTCCAAAAATGAATTCCTGCTGGGGTGGTAACACACGTATTGATGAGACTCGTATTCCTGCTGGGGCGGTAACGCGCGTATTGATGAGACGCGTATTGATGAGACTCGTATTCCTGCTGGGGCGGTAACGCGCGTATTGATGAGACTCGTATTCCTGCTGGGGAAGTAATCAGAAGAGGATCATATTCCATCCGTTTTCCTCTTTGTTCATGAAATGTAAGAAGAATAACAAAAAAAATCAATGATATTTGACGCTACCTGAGGGCTTCGGTACGCCACAGAAAATTGTGAATTCATCAAAGGTTGAACTTCTTCGCATCACTTTGCTACTGCCAAATGCTTGAACCCGCGAATGTTTTCACGCTTTGAGGGGACGCGTGCAATTACCGCGGATTTTTCACGTGGTCTGCTGCTCCCAGCCAACATGGCGCGTAATTACCGCCGACTAATGAGGGCCAATTCCAGGCCGTCAAATGAGGATTGAGGATGCGGATGCCAATCAATTATGGCCCCTGCAATTCATCAGTGGACAGAGTATAATCCATCACGTATGGCACGGATTATACGTCGCATTAAAGCGCCATGATCCATCTCTTATGCTTGGTCACCTCGGCTATACCATTAGGAGCTTCGAGGTCATGCTTCAAACCAGCGCCATCAACGTGACGTGCCCGAGACATATATATATCCCAGAGAAATTTTCAGACGCGTCAGCTTCTGATTTGGATTACCAGACGCTGGGGCGACTCTAAATTTTGTTAGGGATGTAGATCGCTCTCGTCCATCACTAACTTGCTCAGTAAACCTGACGCGTTGCTGATAAATTAGACGTAAGCACTAACTTATATACAAAGCCTGCTGCTCGATGAGCGCACACCCAAATCCAAAATTCATTCTGGGTTCACCTATTAAATTTTTCAACTCGCCATATATTATCTGTGCGAAATTCATTATTATTCGACCACGCTTACCAGAAAAGTTTGATTTATTTCAAAGGGTTCAGCATTCATGGGTATTATTCCTCAATTTTAACATTATGTCATCATTTCTCGCTTGAATTGCAGCGTCTACTGGCCTTGAAATTTAATATATGTAATTAGAATGACCAACTTTCATAAATGTGTAAAAAATAACTCTGGAAAAATTAGGCAGAACTGAGCCATCCGGTATGCCATGGGAAAGAAGTGACGTGTCTTTTGTATGCCCAGTTGTAATAAACGTAACTATTTACTGCTTGTTGGTATCAGACTTTTGTCAGCTTTTATACTCAATAATTGTGTTTACTAAACATTTATTTCTTCTTCTTTTCCAGAAAATTGTGAATAATTGGCCAATCAGTTTGTGAATTTAAATTTTCAGTATCTCGATGATTTTATATCGAGCTTTACTCTAATATTAATAGAAGCTTCTATATTAAAAGATATTCTCTGGCTTGTAGAAACCTAACCACGATGGCAGTGAGCAGCACCAAGGATAACCACACCAACGGTTCATCACCGCCCCATATCACGACTGAAATTTCCTTTACAAAACTCAAGAGTGGACGTCATTTCAAGTCCACCTCATCGGGCAGTGTGGATGTCACAGAGCGAAACTTGGCTTCCGAACTAAACACTAAATTCAATCATGAAGGTTCATTTCCTTCTAGTGTGTACAGAGCAGATCACAATAGGCCACGATCGCACTACGCAAAGTTCTTGAACCCAGAAATTTTCAAAAGAAATTCACATCTTACCAGCGACACAAATGTAATTCATTTCGGTTACAAATTTAAAAGTGTTGATTTCTACAAAGATGAAAACTCCAATGCAGAGTCACGTAACTTAAACTTTTACTCCAAAAATCCCTCTTCATCGACATACCCTGGTGCTAAGTTGTGTGCGAGCCACAACATGTCTTCGACATACCCTGGTGCAAAGTTGCGTGCGAGTCACAGCACTGGATTGTTCCTGTCTTCGAAATACCCTGGTGCAAAGTTGCGTGCGAGTCACAGCACTGGATTGTTCCTGAGGCTGGTCGTTGTGTTGCTGCTGCTCGTGTCACCGTTGGCTGGAGGGGCGCGGTGCCCCCAGCGCTGTGTGTGTCGTACGGACGACCAGGGACGTAAGGTGGTCGAGTGCGATGCTGGCAACCTCGGCAGCGCCATACCGGTCTTTGACATGGACCGCGACACGCAGGTGAGGCCTATGTAATAATTGGTATCATTAGTATCATTGGTATCATTCCAATGCAATAATTGATATAAGTCCTGCTATCATTAATCTTGATCATTATTAAATAAAAACTTCGCCTTCAAGAATCTAAAAGCAAAGATAACGATAAAAAAATTCGTTATATCTTCAAAAAATCATTGAAGATATGGTGAATTGACTCGGGGTATTTTTTGCTTTTAAATTCTTAATAACTGAAAGTGATGGGATACTTTTCTGCTAGTCGGTTATCAGAAGTATGCAAACTTTAATATAATTCAGAATAATTGCTTAAAAATGCTTCCTTATGAATGAAATTAAAACATATATATTTAATTTTGTCTAACCCAAAGTTTTACATTTTTAAATACTAATTTTTAAATGAAGCTCTACGTATCCGTTGTATGTGTATTGTCCAAGTGTATTATCAGAAGTATTCTGGGGTAAGTGAATTTTAATAAGTAATAATTTAGGAGGATGCTTTCCTTGAACCTGATCCACTAGAAGTTTCTCTAAACATCAATAATGTTTCAGAATTTCTATATAAGTTTTCACAAACTCATAAACTAATAACTAGAAATGATATTCCACGATATTAAATTATTTCCTGCATATCGAAAAATGTTTCGCATGATAGTGCGTTTTTTTCTCTTACTGCTTCGAGTAATTTGAATGCTTTTCATTTAAATTTTAATTTTCATTGTCGAATTTTCGATCACTGCTACTGCATCGTGTCCATAGCCTCTCTTGCTCGGCATTGAAAGAAATAATGATTTTCAATAAAATTTTTGAAACCTACAGTATATATTTACGGAAGTTACTGGGAAACCGAAGTCTAATTCCGCCAGCTTAGAAGATCAAAAATAGAATGCGATCTAAAGCACAAAAAAAAAAACTTAAAGCAAATTCATTCAGAACATCGATTGTATTGTAAAACATGCTTATCTTGTCACGCAAACAAGAGCTACAAATCCCTTCATGCCACCTGGGCGCAGCGGCATTACGAACTTTACGGGAAATGAAAACTGTATGCCTTCTACTCCTAGCGGATGTTGTCCATCAACACGGAAGGTTGTCACCAGGAGGCGGTTGAGCTAGAATATGGGAAAGTGGAGTAAGGAAAAATTGTTACGATCCCAAGCCATTTATATCAAAGCTTTCGAACCATATTGCAGAACCCATAGTTTGGAAATTCACAGACGGGGCAGCTCCTAACAAAGAGTGCCATGAATTCGCATAGACCGTGCAGCTTTTCGTTGGGTACTTCACTAGTGAATTTTTTTAAGAATCTATACTTGCACTATATAATTTTCACATTTTCTTTAAAAACTTATGTGGAACTACTAATGTGTTGGTAGCAATTTTTTGCATAATAATAATTTATACTGCACACGAAACTCTCAGGCAAGCACGTAAAACTTCAATAAAACTTCTTATTCAAGGCGAGTATCTATAAGTCACTGTATGGTGCTGTTGTAATAATATTTGTTCTTCGAGTGAAATCTTGGACTCGCACAAGTAACGCCATTGATAAATATTATAAACTCTCTCAACTCAATGCTTCGTTGGCATGACTAATAATATCAATGCTACAGAATAGATATAATCCAGATATATAATTATGATTATATAATGAAAATATAATCCTGAACTAGCTCGCACCGCAGTCGCATTGTAGCCGTCGGTTAACTGGAGAGCCGAACGCCCAGTTAAGAGGATGCAGATCAAGCAACTCTGAAGGGAACTTTTGAACTCGTAAATCACAGTTCATGTCGTCAACAGCTCTCTAGAGAATTGTGGCCGACCTCTCCCAAAAGGCTTCAAGCTGATGCTCAAAAAGGAAATACGCGTTCTGTTCGTTAGTTCTACGAAAAGAATAATCCTGCGGGATGACCTCAACTGTAACGGGAATACCTTTTACCTTTTTCGATTCTTTTATCGTGAGCTTCTGGCAGTTCGGGCATAAAGCGCCACTGTATTTATTTAATCCTACGACTACGAGGCTTGATGAACCACAGAGATGCAAGCTCATGCAGTTAGGAACGTTGCTGTTTCGCCACGTATAAGAGATTTATAATGCATGGGATTCCTCAATTCAGAACCACCCTCATTGCTTGTTATGTTAGCCTCAATTTGAACAGATCTGATGACGATCGTGTGGAGTTCACAATATGCATCATTATACTATATATACTTAGGCGCTATGTAGTATTATCAGTCATCAGAATTCAGAACATTCAAGCACTGACAAGATTAGGATCAAGCTGTAGGGGCCGGTCATGCACCCTATACTCATTTAATGATTCATATTAATGAGCGAAATGCAGCTGTACAAGATAATAATGTTATACTTATATAAAGATGTATATTTGCAGCACCGTACCATCGGGAATAATTTCATTGTCAAAGATCTCATTTGGTTGACAAATTGCAGTATTTTTTAAAGCTCTGATGAAAGCGGATCCTGCAGTGAGGATGTTTCGAGAGCTACAAGAGTCGCTAACGACCGAAACCGGTTTTTTAACTTTGTATTAACGGGCATTTCGAGTCATCTCTTGAATATAATCAGTGGACGGCATTTTCTCTTAAATTCAACGACAGTTAACTTCACTAACAGCGTTCGCAAAGAGCACGCGTATAACGAGTCGAGATCCAATCAAATCGTGGCCGGCTTTCAACAGGAGTTGGCGGCCATCCTTTTATACAACAGGATCAATATGCACAAAGGAAGCTGCACGAGATCTATGCAAAGTTTTTGGCGGTCTTCTTGCAAGGACTCGGAATCAGACGCTCAGCGAAGACATCATCGCAAATCCCACACCACTTCATAAATCCTGAAAGATTTATTCTATAGGACACAAATCCCGCAGACTAGTATCGATCCCATGAGCGGACGGAAGGATCGGCAGGAAAGATCTGCATGACTTTGAATGTCTTCATGTGTGGTTTGTACGAAGGGAAGTCGCTCCACCACCGAATCTTAGGATTTGAGGATCCTCGAACTTCAACCCCGGCCCTATTATTTTCATTTAAAAACTAATGAAGCACATACATAACAAATTTATGCAAATATGCGATATCTTAATTACACGGACAAATGCATGCAGTTTTACAGGTTTTGTGGAATGAAAACTTCTAAAGCCTCACGAAAACTTTACATTTTTAAAGTGGTATTTGATGCGGCTGTGACGGTCCTTCTTACTCGTAAAACCTAACGATGTACAGCCTTCAGAATGCCGACAACCCAGGCTAAGCTTTCATACTTCGCTCATTTCGAGACCGGTGCTAACGTTTGTGTAGCACCAGTAGCTTCAGTAAAATTAATAAATGCATCAGTTCCGATGATGGTATATTTTTCTGTAGTAAATTAGCCACAATTCTCAAGTGGTGTCACATTCCAAAGTCTGTTATGCATGTAACATAGAGGGTGACTCGATTCTATTTCAAAAGAAGAATTATATATACTGATAATAGCTAAGTAAATTTAAAAAAGTTACTTCTCAAAAAGTGCCAAGAAATATTCATTTTATTATTTCTTTTATTGACTCTAGATGAAGAACAAACCATTTTGAAGGAAAAGGCTCAGCCTATTGCACCGCTTTTTTGTGTTGCTTGCACCGAGTGTTGCGTTGCCTGCTCTTGAGGAATACGTAGAATGCAACTTAATTTAGTGCCGAAATTTTAGATGTAAGTGTCGGAATTGGACTTGCACTTTAATAAGCATCTTATATATGACTTGTATGAATACGTGAATATTATCGCGTAAAGTGTATCAAGTAATATTACTCACTTAGGAAAACGCATGAATATCAGCACAGATCTTACACCCATTCACCCTCCAAACATTGGAAGACAATGATGACGTGATTGAGGTCTATGTTAAACTGAAATTTCCGAGGAAAAGACATCAATTTACAAGTAGGTTGGATGAAGTGAAATTATTTGTCTGTGAAAAAATGTTTATAATAAAATCCCATTGATCAATTGCGTCGGGCTACATCGAGGTAATCGCGTTGCTTTCCGTGCACCCGTGTCCCTCATGCAATGGTTAAAAATAAACTTCTGGTATGGTTGTTCCCGTTCTGTCGAAAATATTTTCAGACTAAAGATTTATGCTCCGTTGGTGTTGATTTGAAATATACGGCTGCGTTTCGGCCTCAAAATGAAGAAATTTGTAGTGTTGAAGTCAAAATGGTGTTTAAAAGGTTCCTATACGCCCGAAGAAAACTTTTGAAATCGAAAAGGCGAAGAAATAATTTAAATCCACTTATAAGTAACGTTTAGAAAAAGTCCCTATTACAGCCGGCCGCAGTAAATACCGTCGTTGACGGCTAGAAATATAGACCGCGGGTATGCGGCGCACGTCGATTCGAGAGCAGAATCGGTCGCACGTCCGTCCTTACCATTGATCTGGAGCAAACATATCGACACCAGCGTGATCGATGCTGTGCGACAAAGCCATTGCTTTTGTCTTTGCAATGTTGAAGCCAGCAATATCATTCTTTTATAGCTAAGCTTTCTTGCATGGCTCTTGGTCTATCCTTGTACATGCTTTATTGCGCGCTCCTTGCATTCATTATAGGCACACGTGTGGTGATGTAGTAATTATAGATGAACTTACCGGTTATATATGTATAAGTCATGCATTATTTGTGAATTTACCGTGCTTAAGCTCTATTGTTTTCATGTTTTAAATGGAGATAGAGTTTAGCCGTATACAGTCAAAATCTAACAAAGCTTCTATAACTTTAATGTTCCAGTTATATTCAAAACTTCGAACATTTCTCTTCTCTTACCGATTGACTAGTTTTATTTAGATTATCAAACGGAAAGTTCCAACGGCAAATTACAGATGTGATTCGAATTAACTCCTTAGCATGAAATTAATAGTTACAAAATAAAGCTTATAGTGAAATACAAACTTGGAGCCTTTTAGCGAAGGAAGCAATATGCCTTCCATAATGCCGAAGACATTTATTTTTTATTCA